AAATAGAGGACCGGCACGGGTGTGGGAGACCTCAGTGAGATGTATTGGCATAACAGCCGCAATGATGGACTCGAGCATGCTGGCAATTGTGAGAATGACGCAGGACTGGCAACATTTCATTTTACTGTAGATGAGGTTGCCATGAGTCAGAGTTGACTGAGGGCAACTAACAAAAACAACAATAGCAGCAGCATCACCCTCTGAGAACGTCTTGTTTATTTCTATTCTTGGGGGTGGGGAGCATTGGGGTGGGAGGAGGGAGGTCTGCTGTGGCTGTGGGGACAGAATCTTTATTTTTTTCAATTGTTGAATCAATAGTTGGTTTTGTTTTGTTTTTTTTTTAAATGAATGGCCTAGCCCTGGAGGGTAGTGGAATTTTTTAAATTTTTGTTTTGCAAAGGAGAAAACTGAGACCAGAGAAGTTAAAGCCTCTGCCAGGGTCTTGCAGCAGGAGGTGGCAGAGCTAGAATGCCAGCCCAGGTCTGCAAGTGCAGGAACAAGCCACTGTCCTGTCTTGCCTTCCATCTTGGTTATGGTCTTGGTTTCCAGCCTGTGGGTCTGTGACCTTTAAAAATATCCCCTAAAGTCCTTCAGATGGAGATACCACAGACCCTAATTTTCAAGGAATGTGCCTACTCATGGAGAGGTACCTCAAAGAAAATGAGAGGGTTTTTAAACTTTTACTGCCCAAGGCCATTGACCTCTTGTGTGAAGGATTGTGCCTGAGACTGACAGAATGGAAGATTCAGGAGTCCTGTGGAACAGCTTGGCTACTAACCGAATTGTTGGAGGTTCGAACCCACCAGCTGCTCCACGGGAGAAAGATGTAGCAGTTTGCATCCATAAAGATTTACAGCCCTTGTGGGGACCACAGTGTCAGGGAACATCTAGCTCAACTGGCATAACATAGTTTATAAATAAAATGTTCTATATTCTACTTTGGTGAGTAGTGTCTGGGGTCTTAAAAGCTTGTGAGCAGCCATCTAAGATACTCCACTGGTCTCACCGCTTCAGGAGCAAGGGAGAATGAAGAAAACCAAAGACACATGGGAAAGATTAGTCTAAAGGACGAATGGACCACAAATACTACAACTTCTACCAGAATGAGTCCGGCACAACTAGATGGTGCCTGTCTACCACCACCAACTGCTCTGACAGGGATCACAATAGAGAGTCCCAGACAGAAATGGAGAAAAATGTAGAACAGAATTCTAACTCCCCCCAAAAAACAAAACAAAACAAACAAAAAAACCCCCCCAGAAAGACCAGATTTACTGGTCTGACAGAAACTGGAGAAACCCTGAGAGTATGGCCCTCGGACATCCTTATGGTTCAGTAATGAAGCCACTCCTGAGGTTCACCCTTCAGCCAAAGATTAGACAGGCCCATAAAACAAAACGAGTCTAAATGGGCATACCAGCCCAGGGGCAAGGACCAATAGGCAGGAGGGGACAGGAAATCTGGTAATAGGGATCCCAAGCTGGGGAAGACGAGGGGCTTGACATGTCGTGGAGTTGGCAACCAATGTCACAAAACCATATGTGTACTAATTTTTTAATGAGAAACTAGTTTGTTCTGTAAATCTTCATCTAAAGTACAATAAAAAAATCATTAAAAAAAAAAGATTTACAGCTTTGGAAACTCTTTGGGGTAGTTCTCTGTCTTGTAGGGTTGCTATGAGTCAGAATAGACTCGACAGCAGTGGGTTTGGGTTTTTTGGGTGGAAGAGGGTACTAGAGCTTAAGGGAACATGGCAGCTGCAAGGATGGATTAGTAATGATGTTGGAAGGGAGGCTTCGTGGGTTCCCTTCCTATTTCTCAATGAGGCTTCAGGACATTAGGGTGTTGGCATCCAGTTTGCCACCCACCACCTACACATCCATCAGGAGCTACGTGGCCATCTCTCATACAACCAGCAATGATGATGAGTCTCAGGAAAAGTGAGTTCTAGTCTCATCTCTGCTGTATGACATTGAGCAAGTCCTCTTCCTCTCGGGGCCTCAACTTACCCATATGTAAAATGAATAGATTGGGCTAGGAGAGGTGAGAGTTCATCAGAATGGGAGGAAGGTGTGCAATTTGAAAAAGCATATTGAAAGATCATGAGGTAAAGTAATGTCCAATATCAGTTTCTCAGTTTTGATAAAAATACTGTGACATCCCAGCACAACTAGATGGTGCCCGGCTACAACGACCGACTGCTCTGACAGGGATCACAATAGAGGGTCCCAGACAGAGCTGGAGAAGAATGTAGAAAAGAATTCCAACTCACAAAAAAAGACCAGACTTACTGGTCTGCCAGAGACTGGAGAAAACCCGAGTCTATGGCCCCCAGACACCCTTATAACTCAGTAATGGAGTAATTCCTGAGGTTCACCCTTCAGCCAAAGATTAGACAGGCCCATAAAACAAAACGAGACTAAATGGGCACACCAGCACAGAGGCAAGGACGAGAAGGCAGGAGGGGACAGGAAAGCTGGTAACAGGGAACCCTAGGTCTAGAAAGGGAGAATGTTGACAAGTCATGGGGTTGACAACAAATGTCACAAAACAACATGTGTATTAATTGTTTAATGAGAAACTTGTTTGCTCTGTAAACCTTCATCTAAAGTACAGTTTTAAAGAAAAAGTACAGTGATGTTTTTCTGTTAACAATGGGGGAAACTGAGTGAGGGCTGCATAGGACTATACAGGGAGTTCTGTCTGCAGTGTTTCTGCAACTTTTCTGTAAATCTAAAATTATTCCAAAATAGAAAGTTTACCTAAAAAAATCATTAGGTAAGTTTTAAATTCTACTTATACATCCATTTATTCAACAAAGATTTATCAAGTGTCTAATACATGTTGGGCGCTAGATGTACATTACTAAGAATCATGGTCCCAGCCCTTGTGGAGTTTACGATCTAGTGATAATTTGGTGGGAATAATACCCCTATTACATTTTTTTAAAAATTTTTTATTGTGCATTAAGTGAACACTTGGAGGCCTGGTGGCACAGTGGTAAAGAACTATGGCTGCTAACCAAAAGGTTGGCAGTTCGAATCCACCAGCCTCTCCTGAAACCCCATGGGGCAGTTCTACTCTCTCCTGTAGGGTCGCCATGAGACAGAATTGATTCGACGGCAATGGGTTTGGTTTCTGGTTTGGTTTAAGTGAACGTTTACAAAGCAAATTAGTTTCCCATTGGATAGTTCGCACATAAAGTATTCCACGACATTCGTTCGTTTTGTTGTCAGTACTTTCCCCATTTCCGTCCTAGGTTCCTGTTTCCTTTTTTCCTGGTTTTCTACCCCTTCCTGCCTTCTCATCTTTGCTTTTGGGCATATGTTGCTCTTTTGATCTCGTATAATTCATTGCTCTAAGGACCACGTTCCTCTCAGGTGTTATTGTTTATTTTATGGGCTGTTGATGGTTTGGCTAAAAGGTGGTCTCCAGGAATGGCTTCAGTTCCTGTTCAGAAGGGTGTTTCAGGGCCCTAGTCTCAGGGATTCCTCCAGTCTCTGTCAGACCTGTAAGTCTGGCCTTTTCTGTGAATTTGATTTTTTGTTCTACAGCCAAGAAAACCCTATGGAGTGGTTCTACTCTGTAACACATGTGGGTGCCATGAGTTGGAAGCAACTCAGCGGCAATGGGTTTAGCCTGGTTTTTGCTTTTTAAGTAAATTGAAAACACAAAATGTAGCAGCTTGACAAAGCCTTTACTGGTGGGATGTCTAAGCAGAATCCTCCTTGCTCTATCACTTAGTAGCTGTGTGACTCTGGCAAAACCAACTGTGTGTTGTTATTCTCAGCGGTAAGATGGGGCAAAAAAAAAAAAAAAAAAAAAATTGATTTCTTCATGTTGTTGTCAGCTGCCGACGTGTGAACTCCAACTCATGGTGACCTTATGTACAACAGAATGAAATGTTGCCCAGTCCTGTGTCATCATCACAATTGCCCACATGTTCAAGTCCACTGTCACGTCTGTTGTGCTAATCCATCTCACCAAGGGTCTCCCTTGCCCTTGCTGGCCTTGTACTTCACCAAACACAGTGTCCTTGTCCAGAGATCGATTCTTCCTGATCATGTGTTCATAGCAATTGAGTTGAACAGCGTTCTGTTGTGATCCATAAGGTTTTCATTGGCTTATTTTTGGACGCAGATTGCCAGACCTTTCTTCCTAGTCTGGAAGCTCTGCTGAAACTTATCCCTCATGAGTGACCTTGCTGATATGTGAAATGCCGGTGTCACAGCTTCCAGCAACACCGCAATGTGCAAGCCACCACAGCATGACAAACTGGTGGTGCATTCCGCATAGATTTGTTAAATTAAATGATCTAATGCATACAAAGTGCTTAAGAGTGCTTCCAAAAAAAAAAAAAAAAAACACAACCAGAAAACCCATTGCCTCATAGCGATCCTATACGACAGAGTAGAACTGCCTTGATACGGTTCCCAAGGGGAAGCTGGTGGATTTGAACTGCCAACCTTTCTGTTAGCAGCCAAGCGCTTAGCCACTGTGCCATCAGGGCTCCCAACAAAAGTTCTCACGATGCCTTACAGCACTTACTAAATGTTAATTGTTATTATCATTACTACCATAGTTGGTAAAACACAGTGATTCGCAACACAGATATGGGGAAGGGTACTACCGGCAGGGAACGTGACATTTTTGTTAAGAAGGAGATGGGTGAAAACACTGGATCTTTGAGTTCCTAAAAGTGCTTCCTGCGGTGACAGTCACAGCGAGAAGCCGGAAACAACAGCTCCGCCCCTCCCTCCCACTCAGCTCTGTCCCGCCCCTGGCGCTCATTCCCGCCCCTTTTCTCCTCCTCTCACCCCCCTACCCGGCCGCCCGGCTCCGGCCCCGCCCCCAGCAGGAAGTGTTGAGGGGAGGAGCCAGAGGAGATCCGTCCTACTCCGGCTTGGAAATCTTGGCCCGGGAGGGGCGAACCTTTAAGTGGCTGGGCTCGGCTTTGCATAGCAATGCGCAGCTTTGCATAACCAACGCAGGAAGGCATTTAAAGGCGCCACCGCCGCCACAGCCACAGACCTTCTAGTAACCCTGCGTGGACTCACCCTTCACTATGACTCTTCTGATGCAGGCTCCACTCCTGATAGCCCTGGGCTTGCTTCTCGTTGGCCCCGCGGCCCCTGCACGCGTTCTCCTGATCCAGGTGAGCGCCCTTTAAGACACCGCTTCAGTATTCTAGTCCAGCTGTGGGTGTGTGGGGCGGGGTGGGTTGTGGGGGTGGGCACTCCAGTCTCTAGAAGTCGTCACGAGCTATGGGACTGAGTGGGTCCCTTTCTGCGGATTTCAGTTTTCCTATCTGTACGATGAGGGTGTGCGCTAAGGTCTTGTTCTCCAGGCTTTTTGGAGGGGGTCCATCTAATTCAAATCAGTACCTTCTGTCCTATCTTCCCAAGCGCCTAAGTGAAATCGCACCAAAAAACCAAAAACCCATTGCTGTCCAGTCAATTCCAACTCATAGTGACTGTACAGGACAGAATACAACTGCCCCATAGGGTTTCCAAGGAGCGGCTGGTGGATTCAAACTTTTGGTTAGCAGCTTAGCTCTAACCACTAGCCACCAGGGCTCTAAGACACTGAAAAGCTATGGCCTGTCCCCAGGCCCAGAGATGCAGTCCAGCTTCCCCCGCACCTCCCTGATAAGGCCTGCCGCCTATCCCCTTCCCTGTGGCACTGCTCTCAGGCTGGCCCTGAGGGGTGGGTGGGTTTGAGAGGCCCTCCAGGCCAGCAGGTCCAGACCTGCCCAGCTGGTGATAAAGATCCAGCTCTGTGAGCCCTTGGCTTGTGAGCTCCTGAGAGGGCAGGCCCCCACCCTCCAAGCTGCCCCCTTAACTTCTCATTCACACAAGGCTGCAGACACCTCGGGAAGAGAAGTCCTGTCATTACGAGACCTAGAGAAGCCCAGTTCCATTCCTCTTTGCTACATGACTCTAGGGCAAGATGCATCTCTGGCTGCAGTCAGAGGCAGGTCCACCTCATATCCCCTCCCTCCTACCACCTTGGAAGTGTTGGTCTGGGATCGAGGAACAGTGTGGAGTAGTGGAGAGTGGACAGGACTGAGAGCCAGAGGCCTAGGTTCTGATCCCTCCTCAGTTTCTAATCCATGGTCATGGCATTTGGGCTCCCTGGGCCTTGATCTCCTCATCTGTACAGTGGGTATGATGATGGGTGAATGAAAATGCTTTCATGGCTGGAAAAGCTCTAAAATAGTAAACAAATGAAGTGTTATTAATCAGTTGGCTTGGCCCAACTCTGCCCCACTATTGCCTGTTGAAGGAGCAAGGCCCTCTTGGCCTCATTTGCCCTGAGGATTTGCACCTTGTTCCTGAGTGTAGGTTGAGAATGCTTCTCATGGCTCCAGGGATGGCCACTATGAGGTGGAGTCAAGTTAGAGGTTCTGAGCTTGTCCTACATCCCTGTCTTCCTACATGTCTTAGCTAGGATGCTGTCCCAGAGGATCTTAGATCAGCAGTTCTGGAGAGGCCCTGAGACATCCAGTCACCACCTCAGAGGCCCAGAGAGGATAGGGACTCACCCAAGATCACACAGCAAGTGGCACTTTCAATCCTTATCTGCTATCATCCAGGACTTCTCTGGGCTCATGTGGTTAGAGCCCTGAACCTGAGACCACAGGCCGGTTGAGAGCTATGGGGAAATAGTACTCACTATCTAAGTTTGAGTTTCGAGAAGCCTGAGTTCCAGTTCCTCTTCTGGCATTAACCAGCCTTGTGACTCTAGGCTGTGGTGAGCGTTAGATAACAGGGGAGACTGTCTAGCCCCTGCTGGACATCTTGTTATTAGCTGCTGTTGAGTTGGCCCCTGACTCATGGTGACCCCATGCATAGTGGATCAAAACACTGCCCAGTCCTGTGCCATCCCCATGATGGTTACAGATTGGACCGTTGTGATGCTAATCCATCACACCTTCTCTCCCAATAAACCAGGCCTTGGTCACAGAATTCATTGCCACAGAGGCCTCTGGCCAGGCACTCCTGTCGAGAACCATTTTGTTATGCCCGGCTTAGGGCCTGGAATGTGTGGTGTATGTGTGCGTGTGTGTGTGCGTGTGCGTGTGTGTGTGTTGGAGGGGGAGGCGTGCTTAGGAGAGAGGAGAGGATTCTTCAGCCTCAACAGGGTTCTCTGGACGCTTCTCCAGCCTAGATCCAATGCTAAATGTGAACTAGGCTGCTTAAAATCTGTGTGAACAGCCCCAGAAAATGGTTAGTCCTCCTACTCTCCAGTCCAACGCTTAATTCCAGGCATTCTTTCATTTGACAGTGGCCTCCTAACTGGTTTCCCCTTCTAATCTTGTCCCTCTCCAATCTGTTCTCAACCATACATCAGAGCAGGGCACTCTCCTTCCATGGAGTTCCAGGGCACATACAGTAAACCCAGTCTCTGGACTATGACCTCTGAGGTCATAAATGACCCTGCCCACCCCTCAACCTCATTATCCCTCATTCACTACATCTAGCCCACTGGCTTTCTTGTAAGTACCCGGAGCAGCTAAGCTCTTTCCTAGCTACCTCAAGGCCTTTGCCCATTCTTTCTCCCTGTGCCTCACATGGTTGGTTCCTCATCTGCGGGAGTCCAGCTTACATATCAATCCCTCACCACCCTTTGTTACTCTCAACATCACTTTCTGTTCATTTCCTTAATAGCACTCACAAGTCATCATGGGTAATATTTTTTTACATTAGACTGTAAGCTCCATTAGGGAGGGCAGGAACCATATCTTAATTGTTTATCGCTATTGACACAGTGCTTAGCCCAGAGCCTGTAATCGTTGCTTCATAAATATTTGTGGGATGACTGTTGAATAAAACATTCATTAGCACCTACCCTGAGTAAGGGGCTGTGGGGAATGCAGGGATGAATCAGACCCTGCCCCTGCCTTTCTTAGTCACAGCACGTGCCATTCCAAAGAACAGAAACCCATTCCGAGAAGCTCAAGTAAAGGGGAAGTTTACTGTAGGTACACAAGGAATCTCATAGAACTAATGGCAGGAAGGATAGGCTGGAAAGTCCCTGAAATGTCCGATGCTATGAGTTGGAATTGACTCGATGGCATCCGGTTTGTTTTTTGGTTTTGATCACTTAGTGAGTGTCTTAGTTATCTAGTGCTGCTGTAACAGGAATACCACAAATTAGTGGCTTTAATAAACATAAATTTATTTTCTCACAGTTTAGGAGGCTAGAAGTCTGAATTCAGAGTACCAGCTCTAGGGGAAGGGTTTCGTTATCTGTTGGCTCTGGAGGAAGGTCCTTGTCTCTTTTAGCTTCTGCTCCGGATGATCTTCCTGTGCTGCGGCATGTCTTTCTCCACTTCTCTTTTTCTCTCACTTGCTTGTTTAATCCCTTTTATATCTCATAAATGCCTCCATGTCAAAGATGTCAAAATTGAGATTCTAACGGGCTTGATTTGCCTATAGAGCCACATGGTAAATGTGGCTGAGCTATGACTTCAACCCAGGTCTATTTGACTGAAGCCTTGATTTACCACATGACTCCATCTATTCCACCTGCCATAGATCAGCTGAGCCCTTGGTTCTATCCCGTACCCAACCTCAGCTTGCTCACAGGTCCAAGTGCTCCAGCCCCACCCCAAAGCTTATGACCCAATGATAGCGCGAAGCCCAACATCCTCCAGGTGACTCAGTCTCTGTCTCAGTTCCAAAACCAGGGACAGAGGGATCTTTGTATAGCTTGGGTTAGGTGTTCTAATCAGCCAGTTGGTGTGTTGAAATGGGGGTCAGGGACTGGCAGACTTTCTTTCTAAGACGGGGTATGCATGGTGGGAGTGCGGAGTGTAGGCTGCCTTCAGGGCGCTTGGAAAGGCGTGGGTGTGGGGGCAGAGTCTGCACGCCGTGGGAAATTTCGGTCATGAGACAGGCAGACAGGGGCCCATGGAAGTGGGAAGTGGGTGGTCATATGTATTTGGACAAGACTATGGTGGAATCAGCAGATCTCCTAGAGGATGTGGAAGATCGGGAGAAGTGGCTCAGCAGAGGAAGGGAGGGTGATTTAGGCACGAGCACAGCATGAGCAGTGGCCTGGGATTGGGAAAGCCCAGGAGTGGGGAAGTTCATTCACTGAGAATTGTTTCTCACATGCCCCACTGGGCATTTTTTCATGAGTGTCCTATTCCCTCCCAGGGTTAATTGCATGCCCTTGAGGGTGGGGTTTTGGGTGCAGTTCTGTTTCCCACCGTGTTTTCGTTTCCCACTGTTCCTGGCCCTGGATTGGGCATAGAGTATGATGTGAACAGGATTCTGGGCATGGGCTACAGAGCTAAATCCTCCAGGAACTTGCTTTCCAATGGGAGCCCAAGATCAGCAGGTTGGAGAGGAACAGGAGACAGTGAGGTAGGAGATCAGAAAAGGAACCAAAGGCGGATGAGGTTAGTCTCCTCTTTTGTTCGACTCAAAGTCTTGTCATATGGTGCTTTGTAGTTTACAGCTTGCTTTGGGTGAGTATGTCTTTTGAGTCTTTTACTTTTGTCCTGCCTATAAAATGGGTAGCAGAAATGTTATCCTGGGTTTACAGATGTGGAAACTGAGGCCCAGAGAGGGGAGGTACCTTTCCTAAGGTCATACCCCCAGTAGCCAGTTCTGTTGATTCTTCTGACCTGTAAGCGTTACTTTTGTCAACTTTTCTCTTTTCTTCTTTCCTTGCTGCCTGATTGTCTTTGGCCATCTCAGCAGGGTAGCTTTTCCTGGGATAACTGTGACAAGGGGAAGGATCCTGCCGTGATCAAAAGCCTGACACTGGAACCCGACCCCATTGCTATTCCTGGAGATGTGACTGTCAGTGTCGAGATCAAGACCAGCGTCCCTCTTGAGTCTCCTCAGAAGGTGAGCCTGGGGTGGGTGGGGATGGGGGAAGGTGCTGGAGGGAAGGTGCCATGGGCAAGCTGTCGGAAGCGCTGACAGGAGTAGACTCCGGGAACTTTGAAGAATTTTGGAATCCTGGAATCCCACAGCAGCAAAGGGTGCATAGATTCATAGACTCTTACTCAGGTTCATAGAATCTCAGGGTCATGGGGTTGAAAGGAATCTCTGATGTCAGCCCCAACAATTCCCTGACGAGGACATGAGTGACCGAGACATCACACCTGGCATGTTGTGATGGCACAGTGCTCACCGTTGTTGGACAGCTCTGGTTGGGCAATTTGGTTGTTTAGTTGTTAATTATAAAACGGACATATTGATTAGCAAGTACTATATAGTCACTTTAGGAAATGCAAGTGATCAAAAAGAAGAAAAATTAAATCACTTGAAATCTCATTACCTGGTTATAAGGAGTAAACACTTTTAACATTTTGTAGTACAGTGAAAGCCAGAACTCGACCTGACTGCCTTGTTTTTCTGGGTCTTGCAAGTTTTCTGCTTTTAACAGGGTGCAGTCTACCACTTTTCTGTTGCTCTCTATGAAAAATCCTACACGTTTTAGTTTGGAGTTTTCCTGCTCTGACAGGTTTCCGCCTTTCACAGCTTCTGGCTTTCGCGGGTTTTGCTGTATATCCTTTGGAACTTCCCTCATACAATCACATATAAACACACATTTAACTTTAATGGATATATATGAAAATAAGCAGTACTCATTGTAAATGTTCTGTATTCCGACTCCTCAGGAGATAGTCATTGTTAGCTGTTTGCATAGTCTGGCAGTTTTTTATGCATATGTAAACATATGTGCATTTATACTAATGGGATTATATGACATGTGCTATTAAACTTGCTTTTTTTTTTTTGGCATCATACTATATTTTTCATACTCTTTCCATGACATTTGGTATCGTTATTGTGTGCTGTTGAGTTGATTCCAACTCACAGCAACCTTACAGGACAGAGTAGAACTGCCCCATAGGGTTTCCTAGGTTGTAATCTTTACCGGAGCAGATTGCCAGGCCTTTTCTCTTGTGGAGTGACTGGTGGGTTCTAACCACTGACCTTTTGGTTAGCAGCCGAGCACTTAACCATTGCACCGCCAGATCTACCTAATTGTTTTTAAAGGCAGCAAATATTGTGTTGTGGATTTGTCATGCTTTATATAACCAGTCTCCTGGTTAGTTTGTTTCCAGATTTTTTTCTTTTTTTTTTGCTATTTCAAACACCTATGCAGAAATTATTCTTATAAGACATCTTTGTACACTTTTCTGATAATCTAGATAGACTCTAAAACCATAAAGGCTTTTTATGTATCCATGGCGGCACCGTTTATTGACCATTCCTTTTGTAAAAATGGTGTGGCATCAGAGGTCCTCTAACTTCACAAGGCGGGAGGAGAATCATGATCGGCGTCGGCCCAAAACCCAAGGCTGATTCCTAGTGGGGGAAGGTCAGACATACCTCCACTCTCCAACCTTTTACCAATTCTGAAACCAGCTGTCCCTCTCACAGCACTGTCTACTTCTCTGTTGGGTTTGATAATTTGTTGCAGTGGACACACGAAACTCACAGACCATACTCAGGATTAATGGGGTTTATTAGGGAAGTAATAGGTTATGATTTGAGCTTGAGATCAGCTTGAAAGTAACAGGAACAACTCAGGTTACAGTTCTTCTTTCAGACAGCTTCTTCATGTTCGCAGGCAGGCCTCAGCCACCGGGGCCCTCATTCTTGGCCTGAGCGCTCCCTCTTGACCTGGGCCCCTGCTCTTGTCCTCAGCCCCCTGCTTGGGCAAGGGTTACAGCTGTTTAGTTCTGTCAGTAAGTGTTTGGAGGCACCCCAGTTGGCCAGCGAGCCTCCTGCCTGAAGGCGCCCTCAGCTCTCTCGCTCCGTGGGTTGCAAGCCCACTGTGGCTGCCTCGCAATGTGGGCTAGGAAGCCTACCACGCCATCTCACACCAGTCTCCTGGTTCTGCTGCTGCTGTTTCTCTGCTGTGCTTGCCCTTGCTTCTCGCTCTCTCCAGTGTTACAACTCTATCTCCTGGATCTAGGAGATTCTCAGTGCAGGGAGCCTGGATCCAAAGGAGCACTCCGCCCCTGGTTCTTCTTCTTCTTCTTTTTTTTTTTGTATATATGTCACAAAACATTTGCCATTTCAAAATTCTTTACATGTATAATTCAGTGACATTAATTGTGATTATCATGTCATACAGCCATCACAATTATCCATTTCCAAATTTTCCATCAGATATAACAGAAGCTCAGTGCCCCCTAAGCAGTGAATCTCCCTTTTACCGGTTCTTTCCACCCACACCCCTGGTAACCACTATAAACTTAGATCTGTATATACTTGTTTGTTCTAGACATTTCATATAAGTGGAACCAAACACTATTTTCTTTTTGTGACTGAATTATTTCATTCAGCATGATGTTTCAAGGTTCATCCATGTTGTAGCATGTATCAGTACTTCAATCAAATTGGCTCCCAACTTCTGTGGGATTGGTCCTTTTAAGCCTAACAGTATGGCAAAACTGACCAATCACCTGCAAGGGTTCCATGCACCTTATTTATACAGTCCCACCCCTGCAAGGGTTCTATGCACCTTATGTGCATTAGAAAAACTGTCCAATCCCCTTGGTGGGCAACAAGTACCTTACTCGCATAGTACCACACAATCGTTTTGTGGGAGTTACAAGACTACGGCTAGAAAAGACCATATAAAAGTGATTCATTGGACCACAGGCCACCCCTTGGCTTTTCTAGTCATGGTTCTTTCATACTTGGAGGATAACTTCCCCTTCCTGGTCATTTTACCAGTCCAAATCAGTCATTCACTATTAGTCCTTCAGTTAGGGCAAAAAGGTCACTCAGGTACCAGCCACTCAGGTCTGCTGCAGGTGTCCATCTGATCTGGTTAGGTTCTCCAAAAGTCATCTCGGCTTCACCCTTTCTGGCATCTGATAAAATTTAACTGAGAGAATATTATTCTCTTGCTCTGAGCCTCACTAGATATCAGCATAGCAAAACCTTTAAGAGACTTTAGGTTTGGCCACGGTACTCCATTCCAGCAGTGCCTCTTCTTTAGTTCACTCTTTCATAGTTTTCAACTTCTACAATTAGTTTTTACAATCACAATTAACCCTGATAACAATCAACATTCACAACTGAATCATATAAACCGATCAGCATCTTACCCCACCCTCTCTTCCCCAGAGCCATCAAGAAAAAAGGAATCTTTTCAGTGGGGATCCTCCCTTGTCCTCCTCATGTTGAGTGTGAGAACACACTAATGAAAGTGTGTAAGCCAGCCACTTCATGCCTTTATCTCCTGCTGTTTGAGACAGCCAATGTGTAAATTGCCAGTCCCTATCAAACCAGTACTCTGAGGAGATAAGCATGCTGCTTGGTTGGAAGAATCTTCTGTTCCATTTAGAACTCTGAGCGTCAGCATTCATCAGCAAAGTCCAGTCCAGGGCAAGCCATCAAATTGCAGCAATCTACACCAGCTCATGGTGTCAAACATCTCTCTCTTCCTCCTTTACCCAGGGGACCAGGTCATCTCATCCCCATTCAGTTGGGGTCAGCTCATCTTCATCCCCAGTCAGTCGGGATCAGCTCATCCTTAGCCATCCAAGCTAGGTCAGTGGATACCAGCCATAGGCTCAGGAGTGTACATACCTCCCTGCACTTCAGACCAGCCAGCCCCTTCTCTCTCTCTCTCTCATTCCTGGCCCCAATGGCTAGATGAAATGGGTGCCAATGGAACACATCTAAACTCAACCCATCTCTTCATTGCTATGCGTCCCCTACTTCCACTTCTCTAGCAGACCCAAGTGGTCACCTCAGATGAGCATAGCAGGCTGTCTACTCATTGGCTCCCTTTAACCTCCAGTTCTGGAAGGAGGTTCTTCTGATGGGCACAGGCTTTTCCTGTCTCAATGCATCCATCGACAAACCACTTGCTTGCAGTTCGAAAAGCAAAACGGTCATTTTTTATTTCTCTGTAGGTCCTTCCTTCAAATGCAAATCTCCTGCTATACCATCAGTTCTGAGTGGGTCTACGTGTCTTTCAAATGAAATTTCCTGACTCCAAAGATTCTGGGTGGGGCTTGGGTTTTTGACCTAACCCTAACACTCTATACATAGATCTTCTACATTGAAACGAACAGCCTGTGTTTCTTTCGGGCAAATCTTAGTTCCACCTTTAGCATATTCAATCAAGTATTGAGTGAAGGTGGAGTTACATGCTCTCTGTTTTATGATCTGTAGTACCCAGTGTTCATTTCCATCATACATTTAGGTCTGCTTTATAATACTAGGTAGGAGAAACATTCAACATCCACATTACATTCAGGAAAGTACATAACCTTTTTTAACATTGAGGTTCATGTCTTCTACACCCCATGACCATCTTCCCATTCATATGCATATGGCTTTGGAACTCTGGATGGGTGGAACCAGAAGACCCTGACCCTGTGTCAATCATCTTGCTTAACCTGCCTGGCTTTGGTCCCAAGCCACTCCAGATGTGGCTTTTCTCTCCTCTGTTTCCCTATCTGCTGCTCCAGCATAAGATCTCTTACTCTCCTTTTAGCCATTACAGATGACAACAACCAAAGTAACCATCCAGGAATCAAAAGTTTCACTTCCCACACCTTTTCATCCTTTCTCTTCCAAAATCCCATACTTTCCATGAGTCAGGAGCCATTGCAGTGAATCCCACTTCTGACACTAACTGTAAAAATTGTGTGACTGTGTGGCATCAGAGGTCCTCTAACTTCACAAGGTGGGGGGAGAATCATGATCAGCATCGGCTCAAAGCCCAAAGCTGATGTCTGTGGGGTGAAGGTCAGACATACCTCTGCTCTCCAATCTTTTTATCAATTCTAACACAAGCCGTGCCTCCCACGGCACTTTCTACTTCTCTGTTGGGTTTGATAATTTGTTTCAGTGGCCACACAGAA